TAATTTATAAAATTATTTAAAAAATAATAATCAACTAGCATTGAAAATTAGGGCTTTTAGGGTTAGATATGTTCTCTACCTTTGGAAAATTAAGAGAACGTCTTTAACCCCATGCAAAATAAGCCATACAAATTTCAGGCGAAGGTGATTAATATTTAACTAAATATAATTAAAATGTTCTATGGAGTATTTAATTAATTAAAAATAAAATATATGGTAAATAACTTTTTATTTTTGGTACATAATTTTCTTCTTTATTCACTAAGAAACATAGTATTTTTACTTATTTTTTATGAATTTTCTACACTAAATTATAAAATTTTAGAGTTTTGAATTTAAATAAATAAAAATGTCCTATTTTTCAACTTATCCACGCGACATCCACGTCAACCTCGCATCCATGTCAACCTCGGCGTCTCCGAAAGCACACGCGGCACGCTCCCATTTGATGTCACCTTCCCATCAGCTACCACGTGGTCCGTGCTTTATGAACCGATCCCTCGTCTGACTTCTCCACCGCTCGATCAATATACGCGTGAATGGACGACATTCGTTCGACATTCGTTTATCGTCCCCATCAAACATAAGTCGAGAACCGTCCACACTAAAACTCTAAGATCTCGCTCGATAATCAACAAGATTACGTGGGGTTTGTTCCTACAGCTTCATCTACTCAAAGAGACCCTATATATACGGTAACATGCGTATGAAATACAAGTCTACTTCTCAATCAACAAAACTGAGAGCATTTTTAGGAATTTTGTTTTATGCATTTGCCCAAGAGGTGAGGCCTTGATTGGGTTTGTTCGTAAGCTTCCTTGTGAACTGGCGAACCTCCTCCAAGTGTCTGTTCGAGCAGGGGTTTAAGTTGTGCAAGAGTTCAATCAAATGGTGGTGCAATCTTGGTCAAATTCAAGTGTAAAGGGCTCAAAGGATAGGGCTTTCAGTGGGAAACTTCTTCGTTTGGTCTGAGGAAGCTCAAAGGTGGTTTAATTTGAAGCTTTGTAGAGTTTGGTCAAGTGAAAGAAAATCCCCTTATTTTTTAGCTCAAAATTCCAGAGAGGCAGTGGCTATGAATGGCTGAGGACAGTGGGATTGAACTCGGGGAGGCTTGGAGTGGCTTTGGAAAAATTTTGATAGTCTCCCAAGGAATTGGATGATCTCTCTATTTGGTTGTGAGAGGGGTCCTATTTAAAGAGGGAGTCATGACTGTCACTAGGGCAAGTCAGGAGAGCTGAGAGGAGGATGTGGAGGGTTGAACAGCGCAATTAGCCAATAAGGCTGAGCCATCTCAGAGAGTCCCAATTTTAGGTTTCATCCATTTGGACCTCTTGGGCATGCTGTTTTCCGACCACTAGTCCAGCCATCCAGGGCTGAGCCGGTGACTAGCCGGGTTAGGGAAGCCAAAAGGTTTAATTGTGATGGTTTGGGGGCTTGGGAATACTGGTGGGAAGAATCTCCTTGGTTTAGCCAAATTTAGGAAGAAAACACCCAAATCAAGGGACCCTTGGTCCTTGGCACCATTAGGATGGGCTAAGTGGATCTAAGTGGTTCTTAAGGTCCAAATGGCAGCTGTGGTGACCAGGGTTTAGCTAGATCAAATGGCTAAAGGTGCGTTTAGGCCTTGGGTTCAAGACCATGGTTTAGGCTTGGACTTGGGTTTAGACTTGGCTATTGCATGGATTTAGGTCAATTGATTGGTCAATTTGATGTATAGAAGATTGTCATGAGACATTTGAAAGTCAATTGAGTGAAACGTGAAAGGCTATGGGGTCAATTTGGTGAGATTTGAATTTTTGGACAAAATTGAGGATTTTGGTTTGAATTGAATTTGGGCTAGGTTTGGGTTTGGGTCTAGGCCAATTGAGGTCTCAATTTGGTCTGAAGGACTGTTATGAAGAGTTTAGGAAGTGAATTTGGTGGATTTGAATAGGTTCAATTTGATGGAATTTTGGCTAAAGGACAATTTGGGGCATTTGAATTAAACTTGAGTTTGGACTTGAAATTGGGTTCATTTGGGCTAGCAATTGGTTTCCATTGGCTTGTGGCATGATGAAATTTGATTTGGAATTGAAATTGGTGAACTTTGAAATCAATTTGGTGAAAATTGGGAGTGATTTGGAGACTTTAGGTATTTAAGGGTAAAATCAGGATTTTTGTCAAAATTGATCAATTTGGTCAAATTGGGTTCAATTGATAGCTAGGACTGTTCTTGGGGATGTTTGAAATGATTTGGGATATTTTGAAAAGTTTTGGGCCATGAGGGGAAGCTTGGTAACTTTTTGCAAATTTAGGGACATTTTGAGAATTTTGGATCTTTTGGGGTGTTTTGACTAATAGAATAATTTGAAATGGCTTGAGATGATTTTTGGATAAAATTTGGGGATTTTGGACATTTTAAGAATTTTATGGTTCTAGGGATATTTTGGTAATTATGAAAAAAATTGGGGCTAAATGATCAAAATTGGAGATTTAGGTAAAATTGGGATCCAATGAGGAACTTAATCACAAAAATACCCTCATAGTGTCACGAGACCAAGGGAACCATATTTTGGATCCTCCATGTGTTGGTTTTAGCCATCCTAACCAAGGGCTAAGAATTTGGAGGACCACCCACATGAGTCTCCAAAAGAATAGGGGAATCATGCGAAGCATGCTTGATTTTAGATTTTAGGTTGTGAGTGAAAGTGAGGGACTCAATTGTGTGAATACAAGACTGACTAAGACGACACCACTTAAGAGTAACCCGAAAGCCAAACAATTATATGGGGACTCCTCTTGAGCTCCCACATGTTGGTTTCATCCTATTAAGTGCTATAGGTCAAAACCAAATATGTGAAAGTCTACGGAATGTAAAGAAGTGTCTAGAATTTTTAATAGGGTTTGGTTTCATTACTAGTCCTCTAGGACAGTCAAAAGGAAAGTCCTATGGCTAGATTTTAAACTTCCATGGAAGAAAAACTATACCTCAACAAAAAGTGAGGTCAACAAAATTAAAGAACAAAAATTCATAAAGTTCAATTATTGAATCATTGAATAATCATAAATACTATATACTGTCGTGCAATAAATTCTTTGGTTCTAATCGCATCACATCTTTAAAGCAAGAAAATTGAGAAACTAAATATATACATGCAAAATACGTCAGCATGATTCTAGAAGAGATCCGGCAGTCCAAGCGACTAAACATATATCAAATAATGGACTCACAGCAAAAAAATTTGGGGAGCTCAGATACCAAATAGATGATCCAGACTCAATGCCAACTATCATAAAGAAAAGTATGTCGCATGAGTCAAGTGACTTTCCTAGTTACAAGAAAAATGATCAGCTAAACCTAATAATTTGATGCATTCAAGCTTGAAAAAGTGGCCAATCCCTCAAATCTTATGGCCACACTGGGGACGAACGACAACCTTCCCCTAAGCTAGCTCTCTTTGGCTAAGGGCATGCCACCTGTCGAATTCACGCACTGCCTGACAGCCAAGCTTAACTCTGCCAATGGAAATGCTTCATCGAGAATCAAGGATTAATTGCGATTACTCCAACCAATCAACAAGATTTAGTCGATCAGTTCTACCGAGTACTGTCCAGTAGAAGATATGCATCATCTACAAATCTAGCATTCTGACAACATAAACAGTCGCTTGCTCCCTAATCGTACACCTGCCAAGGGCTAGAAGAGATCCGGCAGTCCAAGCGACTAAACATATATCAAATAATGGACTCACAGCAAAAAAATTTGGGGAGCTCAGATACCAAATAGATGATCCAGACTCAATGCCAACTATCATAAAGAAAAGTATGTCGCATGAGTCAAGTGACTTTCCTAGTTACAAGAAAAATGATCAGCTAAACCTAATAATTTGATGCATTCAAGCTTGAAAAAGTGGCCAATCCCTCAAATCTTATGGCCACACTGGGGACGAACGACAACCTTCCCCTAAGCTAGCTCTCTTTGGCTAAGGGCATGCCACCTGTCGAATTCACGCACTGCCTGACAGCCAAGCTTAACTCTGCCAATGGAAATGCTTCATCGAGAATCAAGGATTAATTGCGATTACTCCAACCAATCAACAAGATTTAGTCGATCAGTTCTACCGAGTACTGTCCAGTAGAAGATATGCATCATCTACAAATCTAGCATTCTGACAACATAAACAGTCGCTTGCTCCCTAGCCGTACACCCTCCAAGGATTAAATTGAACAACCAATTGTCTGCACCTAACATGTCCAGTTGACCGACAAAGCTAGACAAAATCATACCAATATAAGACATGCTAACCAATAGCATCTACAAAATCTAGCATTCCAACAACATAAACAGTCGCTTGCTCCCTAATCGTACACCTGCCAAGGGTTAAATACAACAACCGATTAACTGCACCTAACAGGTCCGGCTGACTGACAAAACTAGACAAAATCCTACAAAGCCCAACTGGTCAAGCCTGAGTGCAACAAAACACTAAACGCACAAGAGTGAAATTCTTAAAAAACCTTGTAGTCCTACTAATGAAGTCATAAATATAATCACTTGCTACAACCAATTTGTATATAAATAGTGTCATTTAAAAAAAAAACTTTGATAAAAACAACTTTCTAATGAAATCTTCTAGAATATATTGACTAAAATTAATTTAAATATCCACAGCTTTCACAAAACATTTTCCAACAATAATTTTAGAACAGCTTTTTAAGTAGGCTAAGGGGTCCCCTCAACCCTTGCAATTTGCTAGTTTTTGGGGGGACATTTACATACATACCACATAATTCCAATGTATTTACACATCTAACTCCTTAAATTTTACATTTATACCACCAAAATTCTATATCACATAAGAAAATTCATTGTTTTAATAATAATAATAATAATAATAATAATAATAATAATAATAATAATAATACGCAGGTCCAGGTAATGTTGCGTATGAATAAAAAATAAAATTTAGATATTATATATCTAAATAATTGAATTAAGTTCATTTATATTTCTCCCTCATTCTCTCTTTTTTTTTTTTTGGTTATTTCATTTTTTATTTTTTATTTTTATTTTTTAGAATCAGTGTTTTGAGCCAGAGAAACGGTTACATCATGATTCTTAATGCATTCGGAGTCCAATAGTGAGACACCTGTGTCAGGTGGGTTCCACCGTTTTTAACATTGGTCAATGTCAATGTATTACGGTGAGCCCATTGACAGTGACACCCCACTAAGAGACTCCGAATGTAAATTGCGTTAAGAGTCTCATTGACCTTTCACTTCTCCTGTACAATTAACAATGAAATGCTGCAAAAACAAAAGGTTCACCATGTAAAATGCCAAAAAAAAAATAAAATAAAATAAAAAATACAAAATGGCTCCCAGACCTAACAATTTACAGTTTGTTCGCCGACGGCTCTACCACGTTCCTTAGCTTTCCTCCTCCGATACTCCTTGTTGTTCCCCGACGGCTCAACCACGTTGGCAGCAAACCTCACCTTCTTCTTCGCTCTGTTACTCTTCACTCCACCTGCAACTTTAATAAAATGCCAAAAGAAAAGCAGATTTCTACTGTAAAACGAAAGCTTTCTTTAGCTCTTTGAAATGAAATTCCACTTTAATAAATAAAGAAAACCAAAACCGTATAGCTAAAAATTTCATTTTTTTTATAATTTGAGTTAAAAGGAATCATAAAACAAATTTGAATACAACTCAACCAAAAATTTAATTTTGTTTTTTGATCATTTCACTTGCTCTGCATATCACATACCAAAAAAGATCTTTTGAAAGATGAAACAAAAATCAGATTTCATTTCCTTCCTAAATAAAAAAAGCTTAGAAAAATTTTGAAAAAAATCTGATTTTTCAAAATATAAATTTATCAGATAGCATCCAAACCAAGAAACAAATTAAAAAAAAAAAACAAGCGAAAAGATTGAATTTTTCCATAGATTAAATACCCAGCTCAAGTTCAACTTTCTTCATGAAATCGGAGGCAAGGCGCTTCTGGATTTGGAGGGCGAAGATGGCCACGCTGCTCGAAATCGCTACCACCGCCACCATTCCCACGCATCCTGAGCTCTCCACCATTCTTTATTCTCCTCTCCTTGTTCTCGTCCTGGCTTCGTCTCAGATTTTTGTACAAAGGGAAAGAAGGCTTTGAAACGGCAGGATGGGAAAAGGGAGGCGTTGGCGTGCTTTTTGTGAAAAGACGCTGGCAGAAGTAACGGCACATGCTTCCAGAGTATATTCTAGGATGCCCCTGTTTTCCAAAATAGGCCAAAAATAGAAATGATAAAAAATAAATAATAACTAATAAATAAATAAAATCAGAAAATAAATTATCACATTTCCTTTGGGGGTAGCCAAACACCATTTGGACAGTTTTTGCATTTTCAAAATATTGAAAATAATATTTTCACACAATACTTATCTAGATGTGGTGTTGATTTTTTGGCAATGACTGTCTTTTTCAAAATAATAAAAATTTGTAATATTCACTGCACCTAGTTTATCAGCAGATTATTTTTAATCAACTTATCAACAAATTATTCAATAAGCTGCAACTGTCTCCGAACAGACCTTAACTGTTATGAACGAGACATGAATTATTTTGAGGTAATAATATATTAAGTATTAAAGTTTAATATTTTGTATATTGAACAATTTTTTACTTGCTTTCTTTTAAATTTAATGAAATATTAAAATTAAAAAAAGGCTTTTTTTTTTCTTTTCAAATTCCTTAGATTTAATTACGGCGCTTGTAAATATACAATTTGTTAGTTGAAAAAAATAATATGATTCCTGATTTTAAAAGTAATTCTTTTGAGAAAAAAATAACAAATGTCATAAATTAAAAGACATTTTGTTTTATAATCCCTTAAAAATATATATAAAATGAACAATTGGGCGTTTGATGATTTAGTGATGTTAGTTAAATCACGGCCTAACTTTCAGAACTAGTCTTTTTAGTTAGCAATTAATTATAATGATAATTTTGTAATATAATTATATTTAATTAAAACTTATATGATTTTTATAAATTATGAACTCTTCTTATTGACAAAATAATATTCATGAAATTTAAAGTTTGTTTGCGGCAGTTGTAGTTTATTGAATAATCTGCTGATAAGTTGATTAAAAATAATATGTTAATAAGCTAAGTGCGGTAACTATTATAAGTTTTTATTTTTTGAAAAAGTCAGACCGCTACAGAAAGCTGTAACCGCACATATTTAGGTGCGGCGTGAAATGTTGCTTTCTGCATTTTCAAAATGCATAAACTGTTAGAACACAGTTTACCCAAACAAATAAAATGCGTTTTTAAAACACCGCCACACTAAATAAGTCATTCCAAACGGAGCCTTAAGAATCAATATTATAACAATCTTAACATATTAAATTAGCTGGTCAACACAGTTAGGTTGAAAAAAAAAATAGTAATAAATGCCATTAAATTCACCATTTGATCCAAGAGGTCAAATAGATTTATAGTTGAAAAGTTACAACATGCAGTCTAACATGCACGCGCATAAGACGTATAATTTTTTCATTTTTTTTTTAACTTAAAATGTTTAAAAATATTAGAAGATATTTTTTTAATATAAAATAAAACATAATTTTTTTAATAAAATAAATTTTAATTTTTAATCTCTTATAAAGATTATTAAATACTCAAGCACTGTTAGAAAGGATAAAAATACATATATTTTGTAAATTTGAAATTGTTTATAATAGACTTGGCATTAACATTTTTGTTTAGTTGAAAATAGTTTCATTTATATAGTTAATTAAATCATATTAACCGCACAATGACACTTATAAGAAATAATTATCATTCTGAGCAATATTTTGAGTTTCAATATTTGGTTGATTGATAAAGCTCTTAATCTTAACCTAACATCTTTAAGACTTAAATCCTATCTGTCTAATAAACTCACTGCAATTATAATTGATGCAATATCAATAATTTTTTTTCATCCAACAAGTGTCTCGATTCATTTTTAAACAAAGAATTCGAATTCATGATCATCTAGGGCCTCAATTTCAACAAGTTTATAATCAAACCGAGAGTCTCAAAAAGACAAATGCAATGATACCAATGTTGGGTTGATATGGGTCAAGTCAAGCCCAAAACAAGCTATTAACCTACAATTGAAAGCTTTGGGTCATCAATTGATGGTGAAATGAATTTCAAATTTGACATATTTAAAATCAAATAGAGCGTTTTGATGAAAGGAATCCAACAAGACAAGTTTACTCAATTTTAAGGCTATTAAGGCACACAAATCGTTGAGAACCCGCTATATTCAAATGAGATCAATATGGATTATTCGATCAGGTGATTGGGGAAGTTATTCATCAAAAGACCAAAGTATGTATGCCTCATAGGCTATTAATAGACCCCCTCTCTTTGCTTGAGAGGGAGGAGAAGAAGAGGTATTACATAACACGTAGCTGACGACCATTGTCGACCACTATTTGTCGGCCACTATCGACCACCATCCATCAATCCTCGTTCATATCCACTATCATCCATATTTGTCATTCCTGACCACCTATCGTTGGTGACACCTACCTCTAAACATTGTATCATAAATACGGTTGTAACATGTTACAGCCGTACTAAAGACCCAACAATAACTTTTGGCTTTCGTAGTTGTCGATCAAGGTTAACATCCATCGTTGCCGACCGCCAGTCACCGAAGACCATTGCTTACAAATATCATAGTCATAATATGGTGATTGTTCCTAATACTTGTATTTTTCTCTACATTTTACACAAACAGGTGTTATATGTAGTGTACAATAGTATCATTGATCTCATAGTTGTGAGAAAAGGGCATATATTTGTAATTACACACTTTTAGTTGACTTTTTTGTCTTACCAGACTCGTGGTTTTTCCCCTTTTCGGGTCTTTCCATGAAAAAAAAAACTTGATGTCTTCTTGAGCTACATTTCAATTATGCTTTTCCCCTTTTCGGGTCTTTCCATGAAAAAAAAAAACTTGATGTCTCCTTGAGCTACATTTCAATTATGCATATGTGTGTGCTAGATCATTGGGAATGTTAATATATTAAACTATCAATCTACCATTACATGTTTTCTAGCACACAACAATATTAAACTCAACATAATAGGCTAATAAGATTGATTTGCTTAAGGAACTAAGGTTGAAGATACAAGCTCAAGAGTACTTGCTTAAAGTTTGCTTACTCTTACTTAATAACTAAATTCAACAAGGATCTAAACTTACTCATCCATGTTTAGTTACGTTAATCAATGACTTTTATTGAAGTTGGCATGTTAAAAAATTTATGAGTATTTTTCATATATTTTAGTTACACATCTAAGTTGTTTTATATCAAACAATGACTAAGCCTTACTATATAATTTATCAAATATATAGCTCAAATATGATATTTCTTGAAGCAATGAACAAATACATGAACATAAAAATTAGTGGGCAGGGAAAAATCGTGGGCTTCAATTTTCTTCAACTTAAATTCTTATATTTTTCAATCTAGTGAAATCTTAGAACTTCTAATCCAAATTTCTCTTCTTTTCACTCTTTAACTTATGGGCATTTCTTGTTATTTAGCCAATATTTGATCAACCATGAATACAATTGGATCAATCATAGAGAAAATTGGATTTATTATTCTAAAAGATGTTGTGTGTAAAAGATGCATGAAGTAAGAAACCAACTAATAATTTAAATATATATATAAGAGATAAGATAACATAATTAGAACAAGAACACTTCATTATGTTCGAGCACATCATAGTGAATTGAAGGTGGAGCCCATTTAGCACATAATGTGGACCCAAGGTGATGCCTATAAGCACTAGTGTGGGATCTAGTACCTACCTTCACATGTCATTCTCGCTCACAATTAAAGGCTATCAAATTACCAAAAATGTTATAATATGGCTACCTACCTTCACCCTTCTTTTTCTTAACATGTAATACATCGCTTCAGTTATTTTCTCCAAGTTGAGAATGAGAAAAAAAGAATTAGAGTTTTATTAGTATCTAAATATCAATATCAATAACCAAATATATTTGTTCATATAGATCCCATTAACAACATTTAAAAATAATATTTAGATTAGCTAACTATATATAAACGGCTTTAGATTAACTAAATCAAAGTACAAATTCATATGAAAATTGCTTGTGCCATTATTGTTATCAAGGTGGGGTCTTTTCTATGAAGTACCTTCACATCACATTACAATCGAATTAAGAGCTCTTTGGGGATTTTGTCTTCATTAGACCAAATCTCCTTGGCAATGTAATACATAGCTCTGAATTATTTTTTCACTGTTACAATAGACCAACTTTTGTTATGTAATTACTTCAATATTGCATTCAAAATTATCAGCCACATAATAATAAAATTATTGTATTTATGTTGAATACTGTTGATCCGGACTTATTCATGAACTCATGCCTCAGATGAAATGCTTGCAAAGGAAGCAAGAAAGCTAGAATTGTAGATAAGTATTAGCGGAGAGATTTTATTATTTTTCCATATTAAGTTAAAAGGTCCAACCATATTATATTAATTTTCCAATAAAGTATACATGAATGATGATTGTAGTCGGATTTCTAATGATCGCTAGCTACAATTATATGTCTTATCCGGCATTTGCATATAAATAATGTTACTGACACCTATTATGAGGGCATCATATTACCTTGTACACTTAGCCGTGTCATATCTCTCAAGCTGCTTAAACCCCTAATTTGGAGTTTGTTCTCAGGACAGTTTGCCTTTAGAAAGAGTGGGCTCTTATCTAGTAGACCGACTTGGAATGGCTAAGTCACCCTTGATGAGATCATCGAACAAACTCTTCTCCGTTTTAGTATATAGAATGATGTTTGTCAGGCACCGTTTAGATTTGATTACCTGTATTCAATTGCTCATAACCAGCAGTCTGTCGACCGTGGTTAGGTTTGCTTGCTGGGCCAAAAGATCCTAAAAGTCTGCTTAGCCCTCATTGGCCTATATGATTGTTTTTTTTTTTTTGGCATATCAAAACAATTTATAATGAATATCAGAATCATTTGATGTCATCCGTCAAAAATTAAAAAAAAATTAATTGTCCAAATATACAATAAATAATACTTTTATTTTTAAACATCAGATGTGCATGCACAATTATAGGATTTCATAACTATACAAAATAAAGTCTTA